GTCTGTTCCCCTTCCCCCAATTCCCCAGCACTGTTCCCATTCCCCCAATTCCCCAATAAAAAAATTTTTTTTAATCTTTAAAAAAATAAATAAATAAAAAATAAAATTAACTGATGTCTGGATTTCACCCTCAAAGAGTCTGACTTAATTTGCAGGGGGTGTAACACAGGCTGCGACATTGAAGAAAAGCGATTTTATTGTAATATGCAACCGGGTTGAGAAACACTGCAATAAGACCCCTAAGATAGTAATTATTCTTCCCATTTTACAAATGATGAAAGTAAAACTCAAAATGATAAAGTAATTTGTACAGAGTCACACAGTTATTAGTAGCAGAAGGAAATTTGAACTTCAGTTTACCATTTTTCTACTACAGCCCATTGTATGTGCAGAGGCTTTTGGAAATCTGATGTGCTCCATTAACTCCTGCCTGTGAGAGTCTCAAACTCAGGGGCTTTAGGGAATTCCATAACTCGAGGAGGTGAAGCACTCCAAACAACAGTTTGGTGTTGATGGATGGTATGGGCCAGTGAATCCTCTCTCTAAAATCTCTCTTCCAGAGCAAATCAGCAAAGTGAAGTTGTTTGACTCTGAACTGACTAGCCACAAGATCAATTTAAAACTCTTTCTCTTTCCTGAGGTCATGGATATGTTAGAGAATTAAAACAGATTAACCATCCATTATTGAGTTCCAGAAAAGAGCTGCCTGTGCTACTACTGCACATTTACATGTTTGGCCAAAAACTGTTGAGGCAATAGGTATGAGCAAGTAAAGGAAAATGCAAAGGTCTAAATTCTAACATCTGAGACTGTGTACTCAATTGGCCCTCCACAGAGTTCCTCATAGGACAGATGATCTTGGAAGGCAAGAGAAACACAAGTCTCTCCCAAACCCATCCTGTACAAACTGCCAGCTCAGTCCAGGCATGGGAAATGAACGGGACCTCTTTGGGTCAGTGAGGAAGGCTGCAGCATCTTATAGAGATGGATGGGATCCGGGCCACTGCCTGGCTCAATTACTTGCTAGGGTGATTTCCCTGAATCTTATGAGGAATGTTTCTTTGGATGGTGCTGGGCAACATATGTGAGTAAGTTGATGGTGGTGCCACGGTTCAGTCAAGTGGGCAATATACTACAAACTCATCACCCGAAAAGCCTATATCAGGGGTCACAAACTGCCAGCCCAAGGTCAGAATTTGACTCACAGATGTGTTTGGCACCATGCTAGCTTACAATGTTAATATTTTAATATCTTGAAATTGCCAATATTTTTTTTTTAATTGGGGAATTGCGGGGAGGGGAACAGTGCTGGGGAATTGGGAGAAGGGGAACAGACAAGCTGCTGTCGTTTTGTTCTTCA